CTGAGATGATGTCGTTTAAACCACCTCAATAAACCTCAAGACGTAGCTGTTGTTTAAGCGCGAGCTGCTGCAGCTTTGAATCGTCCAGTTTTACTGCCTCAATGTTTGTTTGTGCTGCTTTTAAGCATTTTTATATTTTCATATTTCCTCTCTGATGCTCTGTTTTTGCTCTTGCACTGTTTTTTTTTTTTTACTGTTTTATTTTTGTTACTGTTTTATCCAATGTTTTATGTTTTTTAATTTCAGTTTGCCTATAGAAGGTGATGCAGAAGCAGAGTTTATTGTAGTTATGATTCTTCCAGAGAGGAGATGAAGTGGCGTCAGTGGGCCGACGACTGGCTCGTCCACCTCATATCTCCCAACGTTTACCGGACCACCGGCGAGGCCTTGGCCTCCTTCGACTACATCGTTCGTGAGGGCAAGTTTGGCACGTTCGAGGGCTTCTTCGCCAAATACGTCGGCGCTACAGCCATGTTTGTGATCTCCAAGCAACTGAAGAAACGGTGAGGCTCAGCGTGGATCCGCCTCCTGCAGTGTTTGACTTAAAGTCGCCGTTTGGACGTCAGTGTTGATTTTTGTCGTCTTTGACCCGACAGACACAACCTGCAGAACGACGTCAGGCAGGACCTCTACAAGGCCGTGAACGACTGGGTGGCCGCCATCGGCAAGAAGAGGAAGTTCATGGGAGGAGATCAGCCGAACCTGGCGGACCTGGTGAGAAAACGCACAAAAACAAAACACTAGCGCCAATAAAAACTGTAAAGAAACACAAAGGAAACACCTGCAATCAAAAGTGAGCATAAAGAGATGCAAAATGAACTCAGGTAGATGGAAATTCAGAGATAAAACCTCTGAAGACACAATAGGACCACAAACAGATTGAGTACAAAGAGAAATAGACATAAACCGAGAATAAGTAGATGTAAATGAGCCTGGCGACCATAAAATGATTCAAAACTGAATAAAAGAAAAAGACACAATAACCATAAAGATACAAACCATTCAAAAATATACAAAATGATCACAAATGACTGCAAGAAAAAGACTCACAACAACCAAAAATGTCCAACAAAGATCCATAAAAAGATGGAAGATGAACACAAACGGGTGTAAAATGGCGACAAAAGACAGAAAAACGGCAGACAGAGATGCAACCTGAGCGTAGAGTGACAGCGGCGATTAAAAATAGATGCAAAATGAGGACAAATGGTTGTAAAGCCGATGCGCAGTGACAAAAGAACAGGACAGAGACTCACAAATGAATTCATGAGTGGTACAAAGAGATGCAGACTGACTGGAATCAAGACACAAAATGAACATTAGTGAATGCAAATGTAGTGCAAACACCAAAAGGACGAATGCAAAGAGTGACAAAACAACCAAAATGAACAGAAATAAATCCCAAATAGACACAAAAAGGTGAAAGTGATGCAAACTGCATTAAAAAAAAAGGATCACAAAGACAAAAATGATCACAAAGACAAAAATTATCACAAAGGATCACAAAGGATCACAAAGACAAAAATGAACATAGAGGTACAAAGCAATAAAAAAAAAGCAAAATGGCCAAATGACACACTAAATGACACCAAAAAGAGATGCAAACTGACTGAAATGAAGACAAAACGATTACAAACAGATGAAAATTCAGTGCAAACACAGAGAAATAACCACAAAGATGCAAAATGAACACTAATAAATGCAAAATGGCCACAAAGACACACTAAATGACTCCAAAAAGAGATGGAAACTGACTAGAATTATGCAATAATGATTACAAATAAATGAAAATTTAGTGCAAACTCAGAAAGAAACGACTGCAAAGAGGTACTAGTTATTAAATAAGATGCAAAATAAACACTGCTAAATGCAAAATGGCCACAAAGACACACAAAATGACACCAAAAAGAGACGTGAACTGACTAAAATTAAGACAAAATTACTACAAGTAGATGTAAATACAGTGCAAACACAAAAAACACCACAAAAGAGGTATAAATTATGTGTAAAAAGATGCAAAATGAACACAAAGACACACAAAAAGACACCAAAAAGAGACGTGAACTGGCTAAAATTAAGACAAATAGATAGAAATTCAGTACAAACACACAAAAACCGACCACAGAGAGGTACAAACCAATAAAAAAAGATCCAAAATGAACACAAATAGCCATAAAAACATCAACATGACACTAACTTTGCTCAAAAACTGCCACAAAGATTCACTAAACGGCAACAGAGCGACTCATTAGGACCCTAAATAGATGCAAAGTGAACACACGGTGACCTGAATCGATGCCGAGTGTTGACGAGTGATGTTTGCGTCCTGTGTGCAGGCGGTGTTCGGCGTCCTGCGGGTGATGGAGGGTCTGCAGGCCTTCGACGACATGCTGGCCAACACCAAAGTGAAGGCGTGGTACAGACGCATGGAGAGGGCGACGCTGAACCACGAGGGCCGGAGCCCCACAGCCAGCCAACAGTAAGAACCTCCGGAGAACCTCCAGAGAGCCTTCAGGGAACAACTGGACCTGCTGCGTCTTGTTTTGTGGGAGTCGGAGGAGCAGCAGGAGTTTACCCGTTTGTATGGCAGAGTAGCTGCAGACGTAGAGGAAAGAGTCGCTGTTTAATCACTGAGCTGCTGTTTGGAGAAAAGCTGCCCTCTGCTGGTCGGCCGCGGCAACAACACGCCGACCTCTTCTGTACGTTTGACTGACACGAAAAGTAAAAGGTTTGCGTTCATTTAGAGCATCAGCAGATCCAGAGAACCTACAATGACTTCCTTTATTCACTCATTCACACCGAAGCTGCCGAGTCTTTAACACAACTGTTCAGCCAATTTCTTCCACCTTTTAGATTTATTTTCTATTTTGGGAGAGTTTAAATCTCGTTTATTTTGCCTTTTCTTGGCCAGACAACCTGCCGTGTTCCTGCGCTCACAGCATGAACACAAATAGATGCAAATTCAGTGAAAACTAAGAAAAGAAAACGCCTCTAAGCAAAGAAAACTGACAGAAGAAGGTGCAAAATGATGCAAAACCAGTTAAAACGAGAGCTACAACCAAGAAAACCAACAAAAAGCAGATCTGAAACGAGCACGAATACAGAAAATGAACACAAATAGTTGGAAATTCGTTGCAAATCGAGATAAAACCACCTCTCAGTCACCATAAAGAGGTTAAAACCAACTGAAAATGATGCAGAAGGAACACAAAGTGATGCAAAAACCAGGTAAGACAGTTAAAGCTGCAGCTACGACTCACAAAAGGACGACTACTCAAAGCAATTCACCACAAAAACAACCACAAATGGACAGAAACCAACAAAAAGTAGAAGAAAAATGACCATGAAACAGAAAATCTTGACTATTCTGCCAATTTATTCCACATATTTCTGATATTTTTTTGTTTTGGAGGAGTTAAAATCTGACTTGTTTTGTTTTTGTCGGCCGACAACCTGCAGCGTTTCTGTGTGAACTCAAATAGATGCGAATTCAGTGTACACAGATTTAAAAAAAAAACAAAAAAAAACACCTTGAAGACACTCAAACACACCGCGACTCGATGCCAAATGACCGTAAAGAGATTAAAGCAGACTAATAGTTAATGCAAAATGACCAGGAAGTGACGCAAAACCAAGTAAAAGGCAGGTACAACTGCAACTACCACATGTAAACGACTGCAAGGAGACGCAAACCAATTAAAAAAATAGATGTAAGATGCTTGAAAATGAGCACAAATAGCTGCAAATTCAGTGAAAATTAAGAGAGAAAAAAACACCTAAAACACAAAAAAGCAACACTATTGGATTCAAAATGACCAGAAAAGGATGAAAATGAACTGAAAGTGATGCAAAATGACAACAAATTGATACAAAACCAAAGAAAACAGAGAAAACTGCAGCTTCAACATGCAAAAGGCTGTAAAGTGACACAAAACTACTGCAGATGGAATAAAAAGAGACACAAAGCAAGAAAAATACGATGTAAAATCATCATAAAACAGCCGTTTCAAACTATTCGACTGGTTTCTTCGACATATTTTAGATTTAATTTCTATTTTGGGGAAGTTAATGTCCCTATTTGGCCTTTTTTTTTTTTTTTGCTCAGAGAAGCTGCAGCGTTTGTGTGCATGTAATAATGTGATAATTGCAGATTATTTGACCAGAGGTTTCACACATTTATTCTTGTAACGCGGTCGACTTTGGAGGAAGTCAAATGTCTCTCGGCTGCAGAAATCTAGCCTCACATGTGCACGCTTTGCCCTTTTGGTTTTTTGCTCATAAATTCAGTTCATGCTGCAGAAGTTTGTCTAATTTTCAACTGCAGGAGAAGAGAATCAAAAAACAATGTGAAGAACATCCTGAAACCTTTTAGCAGAACTCCACCTTTCAGTCATTCTGGGATGTTTTCTCTCTTCACTCAGCAGCTTTGTCCGTTAAAGAACGGTTCTTTTCATGTTCTGTTGGAGCCTTGAGACGAGTTTATGATCTGTATTTATTTCAGGTGATGTTTCTCTGATCTCCCTTTAGGGTACAGTAATAAAGTGATTGGGGAGCTGCTGGTCTGAATGTTCTTCATATGCAATATTTCAGCTCCACATAAATTAACTGTATTAAAACCAACTCAATGTGCATAGCTGTAAAAAGGTCAAATAAAAGGAAAGGAAACCTCGACTCTTGTGGTTTATTTAAAGGAACACGTTTGATGCAACACCAGTTGTACCTTTATAAATACATTATTCTGGTTCTTGAAATATAAATGTTAAGCAGAACTCACCAGAAGACGTGGAGACTCTGAAGTCGCCTAGAAGAAAGTTCTTTGGTCTGATGAGGGAACACGGACCATCATGACAAACACACCATCCCCACTGTGAAGCATGGAGGCGGCAGCATCATGATGTGAAACACAGTGGTAGCATCATGATGACATGAAGCATGGAGGTGGCAGCATTACGATGTGAAGCATGGTGGTGGCAGCATCATGACGTGAAGCACGGAGGTGGCAGCGTCATGATGTGAAGCATGGCGGTGGCAGCATCATGATGTGAAACACGGTGGTGGCAGCATCATGACGTGAAGCACGGTGGCGGCAGCATCATGATGTGAAGTATGAAGGTGGCAGCATCATGATGTGAAGCACGGTGGTGGCAGCATCATGATGTGAAGCACGGTGGTGGCAGCATCATGATGTGAAGCACGGTGGTGGCAGCATCATGATGTGAAGCACCGCTGCCTGCACTGTGGGATATTTAGGGAACATCTGTAAATTGCAGCGTCTATCGAGAAGCAGACGTTCAACAAGTGATGTGTGTTTTGCCTGTGACAAGGTGAGAAGTGCGACCAAATCAGACAGTTGGTCTGGAGCCCTGTGGAGTGTAAGATTTGAAAAAAGGACAAAATCTCCAGTAAACAGCTGATGAGGTTTAATTTCAGACATTTGCTTCATAGATTTGTGCAGTTATTCAGTGTACATAGACCACAGCTCTGCTCTGCTGCAAAACCAACCACGTTAACACAGAATCAGCTTCACAACTTTGTGTGTCTAATCTTGAGCCGAGTTCATCTTTACTCCACACGGTGGATTCACGACAAAATAAATAGCAAAAAAAAGTCAAAATCATTCAATTTGACTGTCGAGGCTCCGTAGTAATAAACGCAGACGGTAGCGAGTAAACGACTTCACCTCCTCAGGAATATTAAAGTACAACAGCTCTGAACACGAGGATTCTCAACTCCAGAAAACACACAAGAGATTCAGATTCAGGCACAAAATGTAAAGCCGAAGGTTTAAATGCCAACACAGCACATAAGCAGATGTTGGAGGACAGATGTGGACGTCCTGCTTATAATCTGGGTTTTTACGTGTGCTAGTGTTTTGTGTTTGCACTAGTTTCTAGCTGCACAGGTGACTCCTCGCTGCAATACAGGACGCCAGACTGCAAAACTCTCATAATATTTCAGTTAAAGGTTCACACGATTGCATTTGTGCAGGTGAACGATGGTTGTTAGTGTGTTTCGGTACAGATACGGAGCTAAAGCATGGTGGCGGCAGCATCATGATGTGGCTGGAAATCAGACTTCTCCTTCTTCACTGGCTCATCAGTCTCCCTGTACATCACTGAGAACAGACTAACAGAAGGAGAGCTAAGAGGAAAACATCCCTCTTGTGGAATATCTACCTGCACAGGCTACGAAATCCCCATAAGATGATAATTTTCTAAAACAAACTGAGCAGAGAACGGAGAAGTTACAGCACCAGCGAAGAAGAAAAAACACTAAAGCTGCAAAATTAAACCAAAACATTGGTCATCATCGAGGCTTTCCACAATTAAATCAACATTATACTGACATTTAAAACGCTCGCGGGAAAAGCAGCCGACGTAGAACAGAAACCCGGTTCTATCTTGAGTAAACCTGACAGGAGAACGTCTTGTTTTTGTGAAGGTTTCTACCCGTCGGCTCCAGACAGGACAAACTGTTGAGAATATTCCAATTAAAAGTTCATGTTTCATTTGAGATCATCCGTTTTGAAACTTCGGTCCGTTTCTCCCTGATGAGCCAAATAATCAATCGATCTGTTGTTGTGTTCCACAGATGAAGCTTCTACAGTTGATCATTTAAAAAACAAAACGAGGAAATTCAGGAAATGCCGACTCCGGATTTGAACCAGTGAAGAAGCAGCGCTGCATTCAACCACACAGGCTAAACTGAAATACTAAATCAGGATTTTGGCTTCCTATAATGAACATAATCGACATTAAAGATGCTCATGTAGAAAAGACAACGTACTTTCATTTTAGTGAACAGAATGTGTTTTTTTTTTCCACTCTTTTATAACAAATTTTGGGCCATTTTCTTCTGAAAAAGTTGGAAATAGTCAGTCTGGAGCTCTGATCTAGTGGTGAAAATACAACTAATGAAGCTTCCTGAAGGATGATGATGGAAATAAAACTGAAAAAAACGTTGAAGACACAAATTTAAAAGCACTAAAATGCAGCAGATTCCCTTCTCAACTGTAGCAGACAGATTAAATGAAGGGTGCAGAGACTATTTTAAAACTCCCGGTCCATCTTTGGAGACGTCACATGAGCCTGAACACGCAGCGATCTGGAACCAGGAAACGTTTATGTGAACCAACCAGGAGGCCACGTGCTCTTCAGCAACCTGCATCATCATGAAGACACATAAACATCGTCACATTGTAGATGGAAGTCGCGCGTTTTCGTCCGTCCAGAGTTCAGCTCTTTGATTAAAACCAGAGAATCCACGGCGGCCGTGTTCCTCCTCGGTGTGGAGACCATCTTCCCGGCAGCGCTCCTTCTCCTCAGTCCCAAAGCCGCCAGTTCTCCACCAAATTCACACATTAAGTTATTCGGTCCTAACAGGCGTCGTGCAGTAAAATCCAACATGGCGGCGGCTGCGGCTGCTGCTGCTGCTGCATCACGACCTCCAGAAGGTGGAGCTCAGCTGGCCTTTGGGCGGGCTGATCTGTCGGCTCTGCAGGGACGTCTGCAGGCAAAAACACAGTTTATTCAGCTCTGCATGCTTTATAAACACGTTTTCTGTTTTATTGACTTCATTTAATATTTACCATTCATTCTTATTACAGAGTTGTTCTTTCGTGCTTATTTTTCCTTTAAATTTGTTCTGTTTACGAGTTTAAATCCTAAAATCTGAACTTTAAATTTTAAGTTATGGCATAAATATGAACATATTTAGAATCTATTCTCACGATAAGCTCTTTATTGCTTGTTTTATCTTTTAATTTGTCCCGTTTATGCATTTAAGTCCTAAAATCTAATCTTAAAATTGTGCTTTTTCACCTTTTCTTTACTCTACATGTCTCATTAACTAAACTAAACAACTAAACTATCAAAAACAGGCCAGAGGGTTTAAAAGGTACGATAACATAAAAAGAAAAACTGAATCTGTAAAATCACACCATTTATCAGAGCAAGAAACTGCAAAAACAGCAAGAATGCTCTGATTTCAGACGGTCAGTGAACTAATCATGTGTGCTTCTGTCCAGAAAAACAACTAAAGCTAAACTTAAAATTGTGATATTTCATTTAAAATTAAATTTTTATGACTTGTCTCATTAAAAAATGGTCAAAATAGAAATAAATTCTGCGATCTACAATATTTATAGTATCTGGACTGTTTTCCAGTCTTAGTAACACCTCAGGCTTTTTCCTTTTAGTACTTTTTTTTGTTGTTGTTGTAAAAACAAATCATCAAAGTAATTCAACTTTAGTTTTTTCCTTTTATGACGTCGTGACATTACAGCTGCTTCATGCTGCACAGAAGACACTTTAGAGACAAACTTATCGCGTCACGTCACAAAACAAAAACAACTGGAGTCACAATTAAATCTGAACAGACATGATGCACATATTTTAAGATTTAGAGCAACTTACACTTTCAGAGAATGTTATTTCCAATTTTCAGTGCAAATAAATGTGAATAAATTTGCTTTGAATGCACAAAAAATAACCAGAACTCGCCTAAGAATCGTCATGTTTTCAGGTTTTCGAGTGATTCTGAGACAGCAGTCAGTAAATTTATGGGTAAATTCCAAACTTGAAATGCTTGAAGTGTACTTTTTTTTTTATTATTTTTATTTTCTTATTTCAAAATGTGACCAAACACAGCCTAAATAATAGAATGAAGCAGCACCTGCAGGCATTTAGAGATGAAAAAAGTAGTTTTTTTTCTGTCATGATGAGAAGCACGGTGGCGGCAGCATCATGATTAGATTAGACCTTTCAACTTCATTGTCATCACACGTGTCACAAGCACAGGATGTAGCAAACTTCTACGAATAAAACTGGTGCAAAAATAGACGTTTGACATGTTGTCTGAGCAGAACGGTCAATAAAATATGACTCAGTACGGCTCAGCTCAGCGCTCACGTTCGTATTCGTACCTCCAGGAACTGTTTGAGCCGGATGACGGAGCCCATCTGTCCGCTGCTGGTCACCGCCTCGATTCTGGAGACAAAAGACAAAGAGCTGAGCGGTCCATTGATCAGCAGAACAGATCTAAAGCGATGGACTCGGCGTGTCGTAAAGCTCGTACCTGGGGAAGTACTCGTCCTTCAGCAGCAGGATGAGCTTCCAGAACTGGATCTGGTACTGTTTCATCAACGCGTGTCCACAAACCTGAAGGAGGCGAAACAAAACAACTCAAAACTCATTTCTAGGAACTTTTCTAACAGTCAGTAAAGAGTCGAGTCATTATTATGCATCTTGGTCCTGCTCTTTATTCATTTCTCTGTGGTACAGGTATTTATAGAACTCCAGACCAGATCAGATCATGTCTAGTATTAGTGGTCGATTACAGTTTTTAAAGCAGCCAGAAGGAAAGTCAACATTAGAGAGCTGCTAAGAACAGAAACACCAACGACAGACGACTGGATTGACAACATTTATGACGTCTTCAAGGTGGAAAAAAGGTCATTTTTTCTGTCAAACTGTGACAGGACTTTTAAAAAGACCGGACTGTGTACATCACAACTATTATTTGTTTAATGTGACTTTCTTCAGTAAACTGACGTGAACATTTCCTTCTGCTAGTTAGATTTTGTCCACAATTATTTTCATTGTTGATTAATCTGTTGTTGTACCATTAGTTGGTTTATACAATGTCTGAGATAAATGCTTAAAATATGAGTATTGTGTTACAGGGCATGAAAACAGCGAATGACACAAACATTAAAAACCAAGAGACTTCAAAAATTTGTTTAAAAAAATCTTGATTGAGTTATGTGACATTATCGATGTGAGCTGCTGCAATTTAAAACGTGTTCTAGTGTGAAAGTTTTATTTAAACAAGCCGCGAACGCAGACAGTTTAGTCGAGTACAACCGTACAGGAGAAGCACCTCCAGTCCTTCAAGTGTATAAACAAAATAAAAAATAAAATAATAATAAAAACCACAATTTCTGGATTCATTTCAGTCAAAAAAAGTTGGTAGAATTACCACATCGTCTCATCCTCGTCCTCGGGATGAAAAAACTTGGCAGCCCTGGTTGCTAGGCAACAGGAGCGGTGCTACGGGACGTGACGATGCAAAAGTCCGAGATGACAAATGTGTTGTTTTTATTATATTAAGCCACAAAAAAACACAGCAAGTGGAGAAAATTCAAGGAATTTCAAGCAATTAAAAACTCATAGAAATACTTACACATTAATTGGTGCAACATCTGTACATGTGCAGAGGATCATAATAATAATCCTGTTTTTTTTTTAAAAACTGTGTTTGGAGCTTTTACTGATATTTAAAACAGCGGTCCCCAACCACCGGGCCGCGGACCGGTACCGGGCCGTGGGTCATTTGGTACCGGGCCGCACAGATAGAATAAAAACATTTTATTTTTATTTCCAGCAGAGTCTGCAGGGTGTTTTATTTTGAAACATGACTAGCTCGTCTTCCCGTCACTTCCGTTTGTGTTCGTCTCCCGCACTTGACTGTCAGTTTTTATGCTGCTAAACGAAGCCATCAGTCAAAAACAAACATCTCAGGAGAGCTGCTTTGGAAAGTGGAAGAGACTCGATACTGAGACAGAGAAAAAGTAAACATGTTAAGCAATAAAAAGTAATTTTATTTATGAAACTTTTCAAGAGAAAAAAACCCAATTATTATTTGTTATGTGTGTAATGACCGGTCCGTAGAAACATTTCTTGCTTAAAACCGGTCCGTAGTGCAAAAAAGGTTGAAGACCACTGATTTAAAACACATGAAGCATGATATCACGCTGCTCCTGCCTGTTTCACATCAGGTCTGGGCTCACACACGTCTACACGAGTTTGAAAGTTGACTTTTAGAGTTCAGAGCCGGAAAAAGAAGCAAAATCTGACAACTTTTATTGTTTTTTAGAGGCTGCGTGACTGTAATAAAGTGAAGATGTGCAGGTTTAGAGCTCCAGATTGAGAACACAGACCTGGACGTGTGCACCGTTGTGTTTGAGGGTGTCTCTAGACTCACCTCCAGGAAGTCGAACAGCAGCGTCGCCGTGATGTCGGCCAGCGGCTCCATGTTGAGCATCTGAGCCAACCAGCGCCAGCCGTGGTTCAAACCGTGAGGCGCCGCCTGAAACGCAAACAGCCACAACAAGAGAGTTAAAACCATCAAACACTCACATCCTGGAACTCACAGACCGATATCAAGACAGTTTAAATGACCGACGGACAGAAAACGGTCGAAAATAAACAAAGAAACTCAATAATAATAATAAACAACAAAATATATAAAATACAACTAAATAGAACTAACAAGAGGGAATACAAGGATTAAATCCAGAATACAAGGACCAAAAACCAGTAATTAGTAGTTATTACTTCATCGTTTTGACATTAAGCTAAAATATAAACTCAGCCTGATGTGACATGAAAGTTTGCTGTAGAAGCAGCGCTGCAGAGAAAGAAAATCTATTTTAATTCATAAATAATAAAAAAAGATTCTCAGATTTTCTTCTTCTCTTACACATTATATGTACTACACATGAAACACTAACATTTGTACATTCTTATTTCATTTAGAATGTTTACTCCACTTATTGTGAATGTTATATTTTCCTTATTCTTTATTTTTACCTACTACATATTTATCTGTATTTATGGTGGCCGTAACTTCACTCTGCTGCAACAACTGAATTTCCCTTCTGGGATTAATAAAGTATTTCTAGTCTATTCTATTCTAAATTGTTTTTTTTTATGTTTAATGCAGCATTAAGTAAAATATTAGTGGATTTTTGGCGAATTTTTGACCCCAAAAATAAAATTTATATATTAAAAATAAAAAAATAAAAATTATGTTGAAGATTTCACTCTTTCTCACCTTATCAGTATTCTCTCAGATTGTGTGCGTTGGATTATTAAATAATTAATATGTACTTTAATAGATTTTAGTAGTTGTAGTCCTAAAAATAAACATATTTTAAGTTGCAGTTTATTTATTTAAAAAAGAGAAAATGTACAATAATTAACATTCAGATATATGTACCTGAGTTTGGCATTGAAAATGAATAATTACAGCAGCTCAGTTAAAATCACAGATATTTACTGAGTATAATCTCTGAAAAAGATGGCGCTGGTGTCGACACTGTTGGTTCTCGACGACATCTTTTTAAACGGAGACTCTCTGATCAGTTCTACATCAAGTTCATGTCTCACCGCCTGCTTGGAGCCGTAGGGCCACCTCAGCTGGATGACGGCGGCGTACAGACGGATCATCCCAGACATCCTCTTCAGGAAGCTGTCCTGGCCCTCCACTCCGGAGTCGTCCACGCGGTAACCCAGGATCCTGCAGGAACAAAACGCTCGTTGCTTATTCACGCCGCAAACTTCTTTTTCCTCCCGATTACCGGAGCTAAAAAAAAAAGGGTCCCTCACCTCTGATACTCGTCCACGGACGTGCCCTCCTTCATCGGGGGGTAATGCGGGACGGCGTACGGACACTTCTTGTGCAGGTGAGCGAGGATCAAGTCTCCCACCTGAGGATGGAGCTCCCAGACGCCGGACGCCACCACGGCGATGGGAAACGCCGCCTCGTGATGCGACGCCACCTCCTCCTCCCCTTGTTTCTGCACGGGACGAGAAAACCAGCAGTGAATCCAACAGGAAGCAGAAGTTTTATTTGGTTTGTTGTGGGTTTACTGGGAATATATAAGAAAATAACTCCTGTATATTAAACTGGATAGCACACGAAGGATTTTGGCTGGTCTGAGTAAAACCAGGAGCCTCATCAAAGCTAAAATCAGAGTTTTTTGGGTTATTTAACTCCAAACCAGTGTTAAAAAAACACCCAAATACACATTCATTTCCTGCACTTTGTCTCTTTGTGTCTGTGGATTTCAGCTACAAAGTTTATCTTGAAATGCTTTTGTTTTTTTCAAAATAAGTTTTTACTCAAACTGTGAGACAGAAACCTCGACACCAGCATCTGTGAAACACACCAAACTCTGCAGTTCTTATTCCTGTCTTAACTCGACATGACCTAAAAGTTTGCATTAAAATTGTTTAAAAATAAATAAAAAACTAAATAAAAAGTTTGTCAGGTTTTATCCTCTCTAATCTGCTCTTTTTAGGTGAAGTATTCAGGGATTTGTGCCTGTTTTTAGACAATTTGCCTTGTTTTCTGACAAAACCCAAATTCTGAAGATGAACTGATCCAGTGTTTCTAAAACTGAACACAAATCATAGCATTTTTAATAAGATAACACCTTATTTGTATACTAACATAAAATGCCAGAAAATACGTAACACAAAAACAGTTCTATTAATGTCAGTAATCAGCTGGAGAAACTTCCCGCTCACTTCTAACAGTTAGACCTCGTTCAGCTGCAGTGTGAATCGTCTTTTAGCTGTATATTAATTTCGTAATCTTTCTTCTATGTGATAATGAGATACACAGCAGGCAGGTCAGCAAAGCAGACCTAAAGATTTTCTTTTTCATAGTGCACCTGCTCATATCTTCTTTTCATTATTATGGATGAATCATCCAAGTGTATAGAAGTGTATGTTACAGACAATCACAACTTCTGTGACATATTTGACATTATTTTTGTCAAAAAACAGCCCAAAACCACTAAAATATCTAATTTACTGTTATATAAAACGTAAGAAACGCAGATTCAAGAGGCTAAAGCCAGAGAATAGTAAGATTTTTACCTGTGAAATTACTTGTTTATTTTCTACCAAACATTTCTAAAAACAACAACAACAAAAATTATCCTCTTAAATGAATGTAAAAATGACCAAAAAGCGTGAACATCTTTAATCACAGACTTTTATTCTGTTTTTAATCTCTGTATTCTGGTCTTAACTGATTTTTACTGCACTTTAACTGACACTTTTCCTTATTTTTATTTTTTTTTATTAGTTATTTCTTCCCAGCACCACTGACTCACCACAAACTTCTCGGCCAGTTTGTAGCTGACGAAGTCCAGCCCCTGCGGATGCATCGAGGTGGAGATGGACTTCCCCCCGGACACCACCGGACGCCCCGACAGCAGCTTGTCGATCTTGTCGAAGATTTCTCGGAGCTGCGATCCAGAGTTGCTGGCGATCTGGCTGACGGGGATGGTGGAAGCTTTCTGGAGCTCCAGCTTCAGCTTCTTCGTCTGCGTCCAGAAAAAGGAGGAACAAAATAAATAAAAAATTGAGTGAGTTGAGTGGATTTGACTCAGTAGAAATGAGGTTTACTGAAGGTTTGTGAAGATGGAGTGATCGGTCTTTGCAAATGAACTCTTCATATATATTTTACTAATTACATTTAGAATGTTCATCCTTGTGTCCTCTCTGTGTGATGACAAAGCCTGCAGTTCATCCGAAAAATCAGATTTCTTTTTGATTTTTTATTATCACTGTTCACTGCAGTGGAGTCACTCACAGCTCCTTGGATGGGCCAAGAATCACAGAATTATTTTTTTTCCCCCAGAATCTAACCACTGCAAACAATACAGTTTTGCACATTTTTAAATACGATAAAAAGAATAAAGTGTTTTTGATGACATATCATTTTTTATCTTGACAAAACCAAAAGTCACACATGATTAGCTGAAGAACTGTTCAAACACAACGAACGTTCCTGTTATTATAGTTTCTTACTTTAACAAATGGTGTCGTTTTGCCGACTTCTTGAAACCAACTCTCCTTTTAAACCAAGCAGCAGGTTTTGGGGTTCAGAGGGTGAATTTCTGCGCTAACAGATAAACCTTATGATGTGCACAAACCCACCTGGGCGTCTTTTGGGCTGTTGAGTTGTTCGAAGGACTGCGTGCAGCGAGCAGCCGACTCCTGCAGCTCTCTGAACCACTTCAGCGTTGCGTCTTCAGCGCTGCTCTGCAGCCCTGCAGGAGGACGGGTGGAAGGAAACACGTTACATCAAACAGGAATAATTCTGTCGTCTGGTTTTAAACATTGGCTTGTGACGCCACAGTTTTTCTATCCTACATATTTATCTTTCAGTGCAACTATGTTAAAATATTTATTTGCCTTATTAATAAAAGGTTAACTCAGTTATTTCATTGTGTTTCTGAAAAAAAAATAAAAATTTTGTAAATTCAATTCCATCATACGTTTTTCTTTTTGTTCCAACAGTTTTAAAGTTTGATTCAGTAACTGCAATATTTAACTCTGGGATTCATTGTGCTGCCTTAATGTTGCTCAAACAAGAAAATTACAACATGAAAGATGTCTATTTTTAGGACTCCAACTACTCATTATTTCTTCTCCTTCTTCATAATAACAATAATTTTAAAAAAAACTATTTAATACTCAAACATATAAAATCGTGACAAATTACTGTTGACATCTTTAATATAATTTTTTTTGTCTCAAAACAGGCATAAATCCTTTCATATTTCACTTACTCTTATTAAAAAAAACATGAAAAAAGAGCAGATTTAAGATGATAAACCCTAAAAATGTTGATAAGTTTAATTATTCTTATACTTTTTATTTTTCTTTATTTCTAATGTAAACTATGACATCATATCAAGTTAACTTCTCATTTTATATGAACATAAAAGAGACAAAATGTAAAAATTACCAAAATATAACAAAGAACATTCGTGATTTTTCCTTAAGTGTGAACATCTTTATCTGTCTTCTGGTTTTAACTGGCTTCATTTGGAATCTTTTCCATTCTGTCTAGTTTTATTTCATTTATTTTGTAGTTAAATTTATCATTATTTAGTTTCTTTGTTCATTTTCTAACATTTTTATGTCTCTGGTGTCAAATTATTTAACATTTTATATTTAACTGTTGTATTTTAAGCTCTTAAATCATCTATACAACACTTTAATAAGTTCTAACTTGTATAAAATGTACACTACAAATTAATTTTAATGCTGTAAACGTGAATTTAACATTTCAAGTGCAAAACTCAAATAAATCAAAAGATTTTCAACATAAACAAACATGATCTGCTCAGTTAGTGTTTCTCTAAATTCATTTTCTTTGTCTTTTTGCTTCTATACACACTTTTTTTTAAATAACTTTTCTATTTCTGACTTGCTCCTGATAACACTTCAGACAGTAAAGCTGCATCCCGTAGTTTTAATTTAAACACTTCAGCCTGTGATTCATCTTTTTTTCTCCATCACCTTTCCTCTGAGCTTTCTCTTTGGCCGCCTGCGTCGCCTTCTTCTGCGCTTCCTGCTGCGCCTGAAGCTCTGCCTGCTTCCGCCGCTCCTCCTCCTGCTCCTCCTCCTTCTTCTTCTTCTCCTGCGCCTTCGCCGCCTCCTCCTGCATCAGCCGGATCAGCGCCCTCATCTCGTGGAGGGCTCGCTCGGCCACCGTCATGTCGTCCACGCTGGGAAACTCACCCTAAACAAAAAACCCAGAACATGGCACATGAAAACACACCAGTGAGGTTGAAGCTGAACCAGTAAAGTGCAAATTTATCAAAGTCAAAAAACATTCTAAGGATGTGTTTTTCAGCTCAAATGCTGTAAAGATGTAGAATTTCACCACGAAGGTATAACTCCTGGATTTATTCTGGTTCTAAATGGGCTGTTTTGCTCTAAAAACCAATGAGCTGCTGCTATCTCCACCTCCTTCAGGGAAAAACTCTCCTATGACTGCACAGAAGACATTAACTGACACCAAGACAGTGTGTAAGAACGAGACTTTCTGTCACTTTTAATACTATTTTACACAAAAATATCTTTGAATTCTGAGCACCCAAGTCGTTTTTCCCATATTTTGCCTATTTTCGGCAAATTAACAAAAGTCTGTCATGTTCCCAGAATGTGTTTTTCAGCTCAAATCAGTATTTTAGCTGCACAATTTCATACTAACTCCATTGTCTGACAGCAGAAAAAGAAAAAAATCTGCAGCTTTACTGTGAATTCAGCTGTATTAAAATGCAGTTTATGTGAGCACAGAGAGCAGGAGAGAAGCTCACGGATGGCGTTTAGGTTGAACTGAAGCACAACTGGTGACACGAAAACACAGTAACCCACCCAGTCCTTGATTTCTGGTTTGAATTAAAATTTCCACCATCTCTGAATGTAGCATTAAAGCTAACATTAGCCACATTAGCCTCACAGTGTGCCATCACTAATGATTTTTATATTGTTGTGGTGACACTGGCATCAAAAGTAGAAATAATCCACCACGGGGTGTTCAGTTCCTCAGATGCTGGGAGTGCATGAGGACTCTTGTGTTCACTCTTGGACCAACAGCAGAACATTTTAGAATTAGCAGAGGCAGCTCTGCCTTTTAACTGCCTTGTAAAGCTAGGAGGCTAACTATGCTATCACATCGTAACAGCTTTTAGCTTAAAATTCCAAGTTTATAACAACCACTAAACACAATAAAAGAGGATTTTCACCAGATGGGATCTTGACCACAAACACAAATGTCTCCATCACTTCAGTTTTCTACCCGGTCGGAGCCTCAAACTGACCTCTGCCGTCTTTCGGACCACCTCGGACACCTGCGAGCACAGCTGGTTCCCCCTGGTGCTGTAGGAGCTGATGCTGGCGGCCGGCAGCTCAGTCTTGGTCTGGGTGGTCCGGTTCGGTTCCAGCAGCTGGTTGAGCTGCAGGATCTCCTCCTGGATGGTGTTGAGGTTGCGAAGCCTCTCCCTGCCCTCCGTCTGCCGCTGCTTCTCCTGTTCAGCCTCCCGGAGACGCTGCTGCTCGGCCTCCCGCAGCCGCAGGTTCAGGATCTGACCAACAGACAGGGCCACTCTCAAGTCAGGAGGTTTTTAGAAAGATCTGTGCTCATTTACGTCTGATTTGCTTGAAAATGTAACAGCATATAATATGGATATCTACAAAAATATTTCCTGAAAGTGCAGCTCCATATAACTCATTTTTGCTAATCTGTGCTCAAAAATGGAGGCTTCATTTTTTCCCCCCTCACATTTCAACTCAGAAATAATCAGGGAGTATTTAATCTACTTGTCCAATATTACAGATTCTAAATCGATGACAGGATGAGAAATAACAGTGAACATTTCATGTTTTTATCTTTAATAGTTTCTGAGATATTGTCATTAAAACGGCCTCAAATTTTAATGTGCGAAAAAACCTGATGAAAGTGGCTCGAATGGCAATTTTTAATGTATTTTATCTCAGAAAGTACTAATAAGATTACTCTAAAATTTCGTAGATAGCATTTTAAACATCCATAGTTTATGATAAAGGTTTAAGCAGAAGGTTTCTGAGGATTTGAGATGAATTTAACCTGAATCCTGCAGTTTTTCAAAACTTTTGATGCACCACGTTCTCAACACATGAAGCAGAATGATGCCTTTAAAAACAGCACTACAAGTACAACTAAGATTAGAAACGCATATTTATGTTTGAAGCAGCTTCATGGTGTTTCCAGACTTTTAAAGAAAATCATTTTTAGGTTGCAACTCAAACAAAGACTGATTAAGTGCAGTAAAATGCAAAGTGGCTGTTCAACACCAACAAACATAATAAAAAGACAGAATTTCCTCGTGTTGTTTGATCGTCAAACCTTCATTCTGTGTCGCTGTTCCTCCTTCAGTTTCTCCTGGCGGCCCATACTCTCCTTAGTCCTGCACAGGAAACAAGTCCTTTCATCAGACAACATGTCAGAGACGTCACATGCAACGAGGATAGTTGCGTGTTTGTTTGTCGGGTCTTACTCTCGGTCCATCATGTCCTTCATACTCTGCAGCTCCTGCCTCTGTTTCAGCTCCATCAGCTCCTCGAAGCGCTTCAGCTGCTCCGACTCAGCGCTCGCCACCGACACCACCAGCTTCTCCTGAGCTTCCTGTCGCAGTCTGAGCGCCACCTGAGCCAACAGAGTCAAAAAAATAAATCAGTCGGGAGAGACTGCAGAGCTTCACAGGGTCAGTACGAGTCAAGAAAGTCTCAGACGCATGAACTACTCTACGGCAACGTTCAGGTTTCTAATGTTACACGTGTCTCAGTGAACATAAACACAAAAGCTTAGCCAAGATAGTCCTCCAGTAGGTGGGTACTAGCTATTTCCAAGTATTTTCAAAAGAACAAGAAGCATTCCAGTGCACTGACAAACTTGTATTTCAACACACAACATCGTGCATCGACCAGCTTCTTGTCCCACCTTGGCCTTTTCTCGATGTTCCTCCTCGAACCGGATGATGCGTCCGGCCGTCTCCATGGCTTTGGGCGACAGCAGCGAGATGGCAGGAAGCAACGCCGGACTGGAAACTTCGCTGACATCCTCCTCTGGATTTTCATCCTTCGTCTCGTCGCCGAAGTCCTGCAGCAAATCAGTGTGAGGAGACATTCAGGACTCAAAGACAATTAACACAAATTACCTGAAAGAAATAAACAAATGTTCTGTATCTAGATTATAAAGCCAATATTTGTGACAAACAACATTTATCTGAGATTAAAGTCAGAAATTTACAAGATTAAAAGTCCTATGACATTCAGTTCTTTAAAAAAAATTGCGCGCAATAGACTGGGCTTATATCACATGACTCATTTGTTTCCTGCTTTAATAGTAAACAAACAATTAATAAAGTAGAAATAAACAAAACGTTGCTCATTCAGATGTAGTTACAGATTTTTCTTCTTAAACCTCCTGTGCTTGTTCTTGTGAATGTAGGAAAACTCGTTACTTCACCAACTAGACTTTACAAAGTAGTTTTAAAAAAAGAAAAATGTCAGGAGATCAGTACTCAGGATGAGAAACTTGCCTGCTCGAGTTGGTTCTTTAAAGACGGGGCTGCAGAAAGTGAGACGTTCCTGGTGTTGATGTCGGAGATGGATCCTGTGGAGGAAACAGAAGCCAGGATCTCCTCCGACGGACCGGGGCTGGAATCTCCGGAGCTGGAGCTCAGAAAGGACGATTTCTGCAGAGGCAGCGAGCTGAGACGCTCCAAAATGACGGCAGAGTGCGGAGACAAGCTGAGGACGTCTTTACATCCTGCTAGAATATGCTGCAGAAACACAAGAGGATCAAAGATCAGAGACTATTTAAACACAGAAACCGCGTGACTACATGAAACAGCAAAATAAAGTTTATTTTCCACATAATAAGTGGTAAAGGATTTTTCTTCTTTTTTAAAATCATTACAGTCAATTATTAACAACAACATTTATTGTGGTGCAATATTACTTTACTACTAGTGTCAGATTAAAAAATACACACATTGTAATCTTATAGACTGCAGCAGTGTGTATATTTAAGGTTTTAAGCTTCTCATTAACACAACATTGGTGTGTGGTCTCATGGCTCAGTAGTATTTAGAGGGGGAAGCTAGGGCTGCTAGTGGCTTAATAACACCAGCTACACAAGTCAGCAATAAGTGATAAAATGACTGAAGCCAGAGCTTTAACTTCTTTCTTATTAGCAGAAATGGAAGACGTTCTCCTGCCTTTAACTTCATAAAAGCAGCAACACCACTGTGTGACAATACAGTATAAAATACTACACAAGCCCTTCATCAGGCTCTGAATGTGGTTTTAAAAGTATTTTGAAGTCATAGCTGGTTAATGTGAAGCTTATTTTATTAACTATACATCATTTATCGGTGGAAATAACTTAGCTAGTTGTTAAACAAATGTACCTGGAAGAGTATAAAGTATTATACAGTCATCTAAAACGTAATGGAGTCGGTGTATAATGTAGCAATACACAGGAATGCAGTACAGGTACTTCCAGTGTGTACTTCAGCACTAAATGTATTTAGCGAGTTGTTTGTTGTTGTTGCTAGTCGGTATCGGTAAATTAGTCTACTGTGGTGGCTAACTGTCCTCAGTTTAAAGAAATTACCAATTAAACTTAATAAATGACAGCAGGTTTCATTATCAAACGAAACTAGAAGTGTCACAGCAGCTTTGCTAACTAGCCGCCGGGCAGCTAACCAGCTAGTAACCGAGCTAACCAGCGCTAACTCACCTCTCCTCGTTCCGACCAGTACGGGTCGAAACTTATTTTCCCCTTCGGTGAATTTTTTAAAGCTTGTAAAGTTTCCCATCGTAGATTTTCTGAAGGCATCGCGACACAAAAAACACACAAAAACTACTAATCGATGCTAATGTTGGGCTAACTTTGAACCCGCCACACGGGGTTACGTCAAATACAATCCGACGAGAAACCGCCCGCCCCCTCTGAGTGGCTTTATGGTTCCGGATTGGACATCCGCTGATTATTTTAACTAATTTGACTCTCAGTTTGGCGAATTCATAAAATAGTATTTTAAATAAACTGAAAGAAGTGTGCTAATATTGTTTATTTCGCTGCTGACAGTATTTATAGCGTTCTCGTTGGCTCAAAGTGAGACTACCTCAATACAAATACAGTCCTTCTTTCTAAAAAATTGTAATTTATTTATTTTTTGCTGTATTTCTATGCAAGCACTCACCTTTCAAACCAAAACTTCAAACCTGACTTTAACACAGTGCACTGCAAAATTCGGCTTAAAGGCCATTCACTAAGAGATGACAATTAGTTTTGCTTTACCTGTCCCATGCCACTATTAAAACTGACCAAACTATAAATACAAACAAAAAACACAATTAGACAAAATAATTCTGGCGTATGGAATGTATGCCGAATTAAAGAACAACCCACAACTAATTTGAAAAAAAATCCTATTGTATATCTTATCAACTTCTTGTTTGCAAATTAGTAAGAAAATCTTGAATCACTTCAGTTTTCATTGGGGTTCTGCATGAGCTGGACAACAATATTTCATATAGGAGTAATCTCAGGTATCTCTGATGTAAACAGAAATAAGATGTGGTACTTAACCTTAGCTGTGAAGAGACCAATAAGCCCACTGTTAAACAACACATAAACAAATGCAGATTTCCAGTAATGAAGGATTTTTTTTCCACTCCACCAAAGTTTTAGTCAACAGCAAATGAAAACCACCAGCGCCAAAGTAATAAAAATGTGAAAATAAAATTAATAGTTCAGTTTTTGACCAGAAGCTTTATTTATTCAAGCATAACAGATATATTTGTTCATCAAATACTAGAAAATAACAGGGAAAAACACACATTTCTTTCAAATGGGAAAGCACAGACTCATTGTCATTACTGAATGTGACACATTTGTTGTGATTAACATTCAAAAGTCTAGGCTGAGTCAGAAAAACCCTGAATGATAGAAGATTTTTCGTTAAAATGTCATCAGGATTGTGAAGGAAGTTCTCCATTTAATAGAATTTAAATAAAATTCAGGTAATCAAAACTTAATTCTTTTTTTTTGTTTGTTTTAAGGTTTAATAATTCCACGAACGTCATAATACTCTCAGGATAAAAGCAGATGATTTATAAATGTAATTTGGGAATGGATAAATGTTTGGAAGATAAAAGGTTGGAGAATTTTGCCGTCAGCTCGTCACTAAAGATTCTCCAAACACGTTTCCGTAGGAGGTTTTGAGAAAGTGAACGTAGTTGTGCAGGCTGCGGTTCGTCGAGTCGGACTGCTCCAGTCTGTCCTTCATGTTCTGCAGCTGACTCTGGAAGCGACGCTCCATCTGAGAAACGGAGAAGCACACAAGCGACTCTTGTTTAAAGACGCCAGAGATTCTTTCACCACCGACACTAACAGCATTAGGAGTTCGACCGACCTCCTCCTTGCTTCGCTGCACTTGACTCAGTTCTGTTTTGGCTCGGCTCAGCTGGCTCTGCAGGTCCAACGCCTTCGACTGGGACGCTTTCTCTTTGGCCAAAACCCTCTGCATGCTGCTGTCCACCTGTAGAAAAGTCCGAGTTAAATCAGGCGAACACTGAAACAACTTGGCGCCAAAGGTAAGAAAACAGCGTTAGTGAGGGAATATGAGAGTTGTTTTAAACCCCAAAAGACACGCTAACTTTTAAAAACCGCCAACATTACACCATCTGTCAGAGTCAAAAACTGTAAAGACAAAAGAATTGTCAGATTTTAAATTTTTTTTCTCACAGTCATTGAAGTAATCGTGTTTTGTGAACTTTCAGTCGGGAAAATTCACTTTATTTTACACATTTCATTTAAAAATTCACCAAAAACACCAAAAAAAAAATACATGAAGATATAGGAACAATATCGTACAAATTAAATTACACGTCAAACATAATATCCATCCATCCATTGTCTATATACCGCTTAATCCTCTCTAGGGTCATGGGGAGCTGGAGCCTATCCCTGCTGACTCAGGGTGAAGGCAGGTTCACCTGGACAGGTCACCAGTCTATCACAGGGCTACACTTAGAGACAGACAACCAAGCACACTCACATTCACACCTACGGACAATTTAGAATCACCAATTAACCTCAACATGTTTTTGGACTGTGTGGGAGGAAGCTGGAGAACCTGGAGAGAACCCACGCTGCACAGGGAGAACATGGAGACTCCACGCAGAAAGATCCCGGATGTCCTCACCGGGATGCGAACCAGCAACCTTCTTGCTGCGAGGCGACGGTGCTAACCACCGAGCAGCCCAAATGTTATAAAATAATAAAAACTTAATTTCACAAATATTTAGTTTATATTTAATCCAAAAAAAACTGTTAAGTTTAAGTTGAATACTGTATGTTTCTAAAATCAGAGACAATTAGTGAGAATGAACAGAGGAAGAACTGGTTCTGTGATTTTACACAGATTTGTTGGTTAAATCAGATATTTTGTGGACTTAGAGAAGATTTTACAAAGAAAACACTGAATGAATGTGTCTCTACAAGCATGTGTAATCTGTCAAAAAATATTATTGGTTATTTATTTGTTTTTTCACATATAAATGTACTTTGTTAAACTATAAAAGTTTTAAAAAAACTCCATGATCACATGTAAAATTAAGGTTAGAAAGTGGATTTTAATTATGGAAAATGAGTGTTTCTATGAGATTGGGTTATTATGATTTATGGTTGTTATTAGGAGTATTTTTCTATGTTGCTCAGCTGCCAAAAGAGTGTTTTTTTCCCCTCCATTTACTTTGATTTAATCTTTAATTAACCATTACGATTAGTAAAGGAGTTAAGTTGAATTTTACTGTAAAAAAATAAAAAAAAATAAAAAAGATATATATATACTTTTTTGTTTTTTTTGTAGGTCACATAAATCATATTAGTTCCACTTAGTTTGACTCCACATATCCCCTCGTCATCCACTGCTCTTGTTTAAGGAAATAAAAGGCCACAATAAGCTATTTTAGGCTTTTTCTATGTTATTAAAATGATGTCTGGTCACTTTGCAAAGACTCTAACAGCTATAAAGTTTCATAAATAAACCAGGTGACGGCATTCAGGTGAAAGTTGAGATGTTTAGTGTGATTGTGAAGCCTCTGTGGACGCTGACAGGAAGTTCAAACCGGTGACTTCCTGGTTCCAGACCTGTCTCTGAGCGTCGTCCAGCGTCTGCTGCAGCTGTCTGGACACAACGCTGCACTCTCGAGTCTTTTCCTCCAGCTGCTGCTGAACACTGCGACTGTCGGCTTCCTTCAGGCTGAGCGTCTGACACATCTCTTGGTTTTCCACCTTCAGGTCCTCCAGCCTCCTGAAACAAGACACACAAATCAGCCGCCACAGCCTGGAAGATGTTTTTAATCCATTTCTGAAGTCTAGAAAGCATCTGTTCCTCTCGTTACCGCTCTAAGTTGTGAATTTTCTCCTTGAGAACGCTGTTTTCCTCCTGCAGCAGCAGGTTCCTCTGCTGGAGCGTCTCCAGCTGAGCTCCTTGCTGTTCCACCTGCAGAGGGACACGATTAGCGTCAGCCGAGACAGAAAACATGTCATTATCCTGCATCACTGCTGCCGACGGCCTCAGAGTGACTCAGAAGAGAACAATTACTCTTTATAAATAACCTTCATCCAACCTGAACCTCCCCTCTGAGGGACGAAGACGACGCATTTAAAGACTAACTCACATCAGTGTCAAATCAAATCAACTTTATTGATATGGTGTGTTTAAAAACCTCAGCTGACCAAAGTACAGTTTGTGCAAAAAGCAAGACAAGAGAAAAACTTGTAAAACAAAATAATGGCAAAAAAAAAAATAGTAAAAGACGGCAAAACCAGATCGTAACTGGATAAAAGCAAATATGTACAATTTAGAGGGAAACAACAACATGAACTGTGCACATTTCCCCTTTTGGTCATACTGTATTATATTCTAATATTTTGGTAAATTTTCTGTTCACTTCTATACTGCTTTTTCTTTTAACACAAAAAATAATAAAATGCACTTCAACTCCAACCTTTAAACAAACCACCAGCTTTTAAAAATCTGTTTTCTTTTGAAATTACTATTTTGTCTGTATTTCTGAAATACAAGAAGATATCAGGAACAAGAAAGTATCGATAAAAGTACATAAATAGAATGTGAAGTTACATATTGAATTTAAAATAATGAGAAAAATTTAATGTCACAGATATTGAGTGTTTTTTTAAAATGATAAAACTGTTAAATTCAAGCTGAATATTGTAAATGTGTTTCTAAAACTAAAAACAATTAGTGAGAATTAACAGAGAACGAAGTGTTGGTTCTGTGATTTTACATGATTTGTTGGTTAAACGAGGGATATTTAGTGTATTTAGAAAATATTTCACAAAGAAAATGTTAAACTTTTTGTATATTTATATACTGATTTTCTCTTTTAACACAAAAAACAAATAAAATGCACTTTGACTGCAGCCTCAAACTGAACCACCAGGCTTTTAACACAAACTTGGAGTTGAGAAGGAATCAGAAACCAGCAGCACAGAGTCCTTCCAAGACTTAAAGATTTTAACCTCGAGGAACTTCCTGCTTAAGTAAAAGTTAAATGTGAATTAAGACATTTGGGTAATTTGCATTGTCTCACTTCTTGTGCGAGGTTTAGCGTAACTGGAAATGTTTACTTGTGGAGATGTTCACGTTTTAAACATTTTGGTATTAAATCCACTCCTGAAGATCTTCATGAGTCTTAATAATCCTAATTTATCATCCTATTAGGATGGAAGGCGTCCATGAAGAATCCCTCGACATTATCTCCTCTAAAACACACAAACCGTCACGTTTCCGTCCACAGTTTGACCTTCTAACCCTAAACCAGAGGGACATCCTCCAGACTGCTCCGTACCTTGTGTCTGACTTCAGAAAGCGCAGCGTTGTTCTCCACGTTCCTCCTCTGGTGGCCGTCGGCCTCCTGCTGGGCGTCTCGTAGCTGCAGCTCCGTCCTCCTCAGTCGTTCCGGCAGCGTCTCCAGCTCTCGGAGTCGACCCAGCAGCTCCCTCCTCACCTGCTCCTTCTCCCTGTCCAGGCTCACCTTCACCTCCCGGGCCTCCCTCTGGGCCACCTCCAGCTTCAGGCAGGACTCCTCCGACTCAATGCGAGCCTGCTGCACCTGCACACAGGTTTGATCAAATCAGCACAGCCACATGTTTGCATGTCAAGAATATACTTTACCTCCTTCAACACTCAGTTTAGCTCATCAGTAAGTAAACGTTTCCAGCAGATCTTCCACTAGAAGTAAACAAGATCATTATTGTATTGACTCTTTAAAGCCTTTTTAAACATCTGTTTTCAGGGTAAGAGTCTATATTCTGCAGAAACACAGTATTCAGAAAAGCACAGAAGTCATTCAATCGCAAATCCTCAAATAACTACAACAGCTTCTGCTGCACCGTCTCTCACTTGGATGACATTTTATAGACAGATAGTTGGATAGATAATTTGTGAAATTGTACCTTGAAATATTAAGTAATTTTTGAGAATTTGTGTTTTTTTTAATTGCACATTGAATCACAACATCTCAGAAACTATTAAAGATAAAAACCTAAAACCATTTTGAAACTTTAAAACTTTGGTACAACCTGTCATACCTGCTCAATCAGTTATGAACCATCAACAAATAAAAACCCTTTTCTTCATATTTAATGACCAAGTATTTCATATTAAAAGTATTCTTTATGTTTAGTTTTATTGTGACCTGCAGCTACATGTGGTTCAGAAAACATCACGAGTTGACCTTCGCATTATCATTTTTTTTGCTAATATGAGCTCAAAGATGAAACCTTCAATGATGGCTTCATTGTTTTTCATCTTTCAGCTCAAAGACACTCAAAGACTATTTGATCTACTTCTCCAATGTTTCAGAATAAATGACATGATGAGAAATAACAGTAAAAATTTCAGGTTTCTATCTTTAATAGTTCCTCAGATATTGTTGTTCAAACAGCCTCCGATTTCAATGTGTGAAAAAAACTGCTAAAAAGTGGGTCAACTAGCAATTCAAAAATGTATATATCTTGGAAAGTATTTGATATATAAATCTAAAATGTCACAGGTAACATTCAAGTATCTCTACTTTATGGTTAAAAAAGGTTTTGAGCAAATCAGAGTTTGGTAAGCATGATGCTCTGAGACAGATTTCCATGTCAAAAATCTGCTTAAACAGTCAGTTTATCTCATCACGAAACACATATTTCCTTCATATCTTCCACTTGAAGCAAATTAAATAATATTTTCTGTGTGTTTTGAGCGTACAGACGATTTCAGCTCTTTTTTGCCTCATTTACTGTCCAAATCTGGCAGAGAAAACACACACTTATTATTCAGAAAAGCACATAAATCCTCCACACGTTAACCAGTATTTCATGTTAAGCCTCATTTATTCACGGTTTAATGTGCATGTAGTGAAGCAGCATCAGTGAGACTCTGACGGTACCTTCTTCTTGTATTTCTCCACCAGGTTTTCATACTTTCTGATCGACGATTTCAGCTGCCGAGCTTCAGAGTGGAGTCCCCTGAGTTTCTCCTCACAGGACGTCACATCGCCCTAAACATCAGGTTTGTTTAGAATAAATACCGTGAAAATACGTTTGCTTTCATTCACAGAAATTGTGAAAGAGTCGAGGAAGTTTCAGCTATGTTTCTGCAACATTTTTGTCAGTAAAAGGAGCTGCAAGAATTGAAACAAAACCACCTTCATGACTTCATGTCAAACCAGTTTTTGAGGCGGATGTTGATTTTTCTACCTTCAGTCTCTGGTTGTCCAGCTTGATGGAGGCGTTTTCAGCACTGAGATGATGAAGCTGATCCCTGAGCTCCTCCCTCTCCAACCGACTCTTCTCCTCCGCTGAGTGAAGCTGAGAGTTCAGCTCAGTCACCTGTCTGCAGGTACGCGGTGTAAATACACTTAGACAGTATAAATACAGTTATACAGTATAAATCCAAATATACAGAGTAATTCCTAGTATACAGTATAAATCCTATTATACAGTAATAACCCTGATTTACAGGGTAAAAGTGTAAACCTGCATGTTTTACAAAAAGCAATACATTATGTGTGAAGTCAAACTGGTTTGAGGAGTCGCTAATCCAACCGGATATGACATGAAATCGGAACTAACATTCTGAGGTGGTGGAGTCCGTGGGTCGCACGGACCATAAAGCACGGCGCACATCTGCGGCAGCATCAGCAAACAATCCGAATGAATGAAAGTTTTTACCTGCATCATGACCAATAAGATCACCTGTCTTCACAACAATATTGAAAAATAAAAGAAGAAAAGAAGGAAACGTGTCGGTCTTTTGAGTGGAATCCAGTTGTAATATCTGCGTAAATGTACCCATCCCTTTCAAGTGGGGAAGCTGCACGAATTTAAGGCGTAACTTGACATTATGTGAGAAATGTTGCAGGATTTTATATCTATTTCAACTCATTATTGACTATTTCTTGTGTTTTCATGACCAGATGAATTCAGCAGTAACTTTATGTGTAATGATCATCTTTTGATTATTTTTCTTACATCATAATTTAACTTTAAAATCTCATTTATTTCAACTCAATCTAATTCAACATGTGTATAATATATCAAAAACATTTGGTTTGAGGGAATCATGACTGGAAATTAGCTCTTGGCACATTACCTGAGATCCTTTAAATGTTACAAATAAATAGAAATTTCTAAATTGTATCATGCAAAAGCTCCAAAAATGCTCCTGGTTCTTGGAGCTGTAATGCAGCTTTCCACCACATGACCTTCAGGCTATAAGAGGCAAGTATGTAGTGAGAAATGATCACTTTTGTGAAGTCAGAGAGTGAAAAGCTGGACTTTAAGTGTGTCTGAGTGAACTCACAGTCTGAGGGCAGAGGTTTCTTCCTCCAGCTGTCCTTTAGCAGCTGCTTCCTTCGAGTGACGGAGGCACCAGTCGCTGGACGTGGACAGAGCCTGAGACAGCTGCGATTCCTTCAGAATAAAATGCACAAAAACAATTGTCCACTGATCAATTTTCATGCTTCAACAAGTCTTACATTTTAGTAAATCTAATTCAGGCTCTCCTGACAAAGCTAGAGGTGCGTTATAACACAAGAAAACAACGTTTGCATGCAGGATAAACAACATCAAACTAAACAACCAGGACTCTGTTTGCAGACACACTTGCTGCTTATAAAGCTTTAATTCTTTGTGTAACACCGACAGCTTTGCCTTCGGTTTACTGGAGCTGCAGCAGAAAATGCAGATAATATTTCATGTAACTTTATGTGTAGGCGCACATTTATAATTGCATGTGGTTGACATTCTACTACATTTTTTTTCCTTTTTTCATTGCCATTTTTATATGTAGTATTTAAATCCCCATTTTTATTTACTTTTTCAGTTTAAAATTATTTTTATTTATTAATTTATCTTATTCCTTATTAAAATCACTACTGTTGTTATTAGTATTTTCTTTCTTATTATTATCATTTATTTATTTACCTATTTTTACGTTTACACACTCACATATATTCTATACAAATCCTTGTCAGTTTCTACAGTACTTGGCTGAAAACACTGAAACTGTGACCAACGTACATGATTTCAATAAAAAGAGTTTGGTTTAAAAAATGCAGAGAATCAAATCCACATTAAATAAAATTCCAACTACCTGCATTGCTCGCAAACATGAGGGAAAATAAGAAAGAAAAAAAAACGTGTATTTTAGGGATTTTAATGAACTTTTGCTTCCTTCTTTATATGATAAACAAAATATCAGAGAAAAAAAAACTGATATTTATGTTTCTTATAGTGTTTAATGTAGATTACAGACTTTATTTCTCCTGTTTATTGTGAGTTGTACATATCATTCTGCTCTGACATGTGCAGACATGGAACGCTGACCTTCTCGTGGAGCTTCTCTGTGAGCTGCCTGTTGGACTCCTCGGCTCGCTCGGCCTGCTGGGTCAGAAGAACCAGAGCTTCCTGGTCTTGTTTCTGCTCCTCGTCCTGCTTCTGCTGCCTCAGAGTCTGAAGCTCCTCCTGCAGAAGCTGGAGTTCCTCCTGCTGCTGCTCGTCGCTCTGCTGCATCCTCTGTCACAGAAGAAGGTAACACCACAACAGAGGTAGGAGGTAAACAGCAGATTTCAGAGAGTCAGATGAGGTGAAGCTGCTTTATCTGCTCTGGGTTTTCTTTGGATCAAAACTGGCTTCATTGGAGAAGCTCGCACTGATGAGCTCCGACATTAAAACCACTGACAGGTGAAGGCATAACACTGATTATGTTGTTCAAGCGTCACCTGTCAGGAGGTTTGAAATGTCAAGCAGCAGGTGAATATTTTGTAAATCTTTTACTATGTTTAACTCTGCTTCTCCACTTTTGCATCTCTGGTCTTTTTTTCTCTTTGGTCTGATACAACTTCTGCACATCGTCATTATTATTATTGTCATTATTGCACCTCCACCACAGCAGGTGTTGTAAGCATGTAAAAAGATCAGAAGAAGGACAACCGATGCTTCAGACGTAAAGAAGAGCTACTGTAGCACATCCTGTAACAGAGAAGGTGTCAGAGCGTCACAGTTTGTTGTTTTGGAAGCTGTGATGCTGCAGAGTGTCCATGCTGACTCCCGTTCACCACTAAAAGCTCCTACAATAGACACCAGAACTGGACCCAGGAGCCATGGAGTCATGTTTTCTTCATGTGTAATGTTTTTGTGTGTCATTTAGCTAGAGTCAGCAGACGCTCGGGACAAAGTTCTACTGGTCCTGCATTCATGTGGAAGTGATTTGACTCCTACACATTGCTGCAGATCACCAACAGCCCTTAATGGAAGCTGTATTCCCTGATGGCATCTGTCAGCAGGATAATAACCCCTGACAAACACTGCTCAGGAATAATCTGAGGAAGATGGCAAGGAGTTCAAGGTGTTGCCCCTGAATTCTCTCAATCCGACTGAGCAACTTCCACAACTTTAAGAATCTGCTGCTAACATCAGAACACCTTCAGAGTCTTTGGAGTCATAAAGGGGAGCTGCTTAATATCAGTCAGCTGGTTTTAATGTTGTGTTGCAAACCGACACCACGCTTCAGCTTCAACTGATGTTATACTTTTACAGAAAGGAGGATTAAAGGAGTAATGTCCTCATAACTGAATAAAAAGGCAGCGCTGTAACAAGAAATCAGTAATGGAAAAAGGATTGGACGTTTTATTTGACACCGAAATGATTTTTAGCGCTAATAAATGCAGAAAGTGACACGTGATTATCAAAAGAAGAAGAGGTTTTATCCTTCATGAGCTTGTAGCTGTGTCTAAATGATGAAAACAACTGCTCTACACCTGGCAGCTCACTGTGTGCGAGTTTTGTCGTGTTTTATGATCACAGACCTGAATCTGAGCGGCCAGATGGGCCTTTTCAGCCTCGGCTCGGTCCAGCTGAGACTCCAGATGGTTTCGGGTCGACTGAAGGATCCTCGAAAGCTCCTCCGTCGTCTTTGCGTTGTCCTGTGGCACCAAAGGGAAGCAGAGGAGGCTTAAAAGGTGTTTGTACATGTGAGAAAAGTTGTGTTTAGATGTGGAGGTGAGTTACAAACCTTTTCAAAGTCCAAATGCTCAGCGAGCTTAAAGGCTTCTTTCTCCTTGTTGGTGAGTTTGGCCAAAAGTCTCTGCAGGAGAAGAAGAAGGAAACCTCCTCAGATGTTGGGCTGCTGATGCTAGCTTCATACGAGCAGGTGGTAAATACTCACGATGTTGTCTGCTTCGCTGTCAGCCAGCCGCTTCTTTAAGGCGTCTTTCTGTTCCAGCCACACCAGCCATTCTTTCTGTGGATGCAGCAGCAGTCAGGAGGGAATTATTGCAACCTGAGATTTGCTCTCTGTGAGTTTTTATTAAATTTTATCCCACCTCTTGTTCGCTCCACTCTCTGAGGAGCTCTCGAAGGCTGTGATTGGTGTTGTCGAACATCTCTATCTTCTCCAGCAGCAACTCCCGCTGACGTCCCAGAGAGGCGGCGTGAATTTTTGACAGACGTTTGTCCTGAAACATGAATAAAAGCACCATCATGTATAGAGTTTTTTTCCTCATTGTCGACTCATTTTTCACAGCAATATAAAGTCCTCTATGGAAACAGAACAACCATGAAGGAGAGAGAACGCAGAAATGTCTTCTGTGCTGTATGACACCATTAAAACACTATAAATCGTTTTTTTTTTTTTTAAAGAATGAAAGATGAATTTCTTTGATTATTTGTGAAAAATTCTAAACAGCTGTTACCAACACTGGAAAAAAAATAGAGGCTCCACATATGCTAGATATTTAAGCATTTACATTTTAACAGCCTCTCCAGACGTTTCCTCTCTGCTCTGCTCATCAGCTGTAGAAAGATGTTCCACCATCAGCTGGATGTATCTCCAACAACTGGCTCCTCTGTTCACTGTTTCTGAGCCATGCTACATTTATTTATTCATCCAGTAGCTTTTATTTTCCTCTAAATTGCTTTAATGTGCTTTAACACAGCCTGCAGTTCAGCCAAAAAGTCCCTGAATTTTTGTCACATGAATATTGTTTACAGCTGAGTCAGTCATGGCTGCTCAGTCACGCCATGAAGCTCAGATTTTATTTTATTTTTTTACAGAATTGGGCTGATTTCAGATACATTTTGAACTGAGACGTGTAGAAGAAAATGATACTGATGACATATCACAATTGTAAGTTTAGATGTGGTTAATTTTCCTGATGAAACAGTACGTCAGACATGATTAGGTCAAGGACAAGGAAGGTCTGAAGAATGGAGATTCGGCTTTTTGGCGATTTTAGAAACAAAATTTTACACACACAGATGAAAGGAGTTATTTATACATGAGCTCCTCTAACATTTTGAGGAGTCTCTAAAGTTTTGACAGTATGCTCTTTGAACCATGCATTCGTATTTTTCTGCATCTTTATCATCATAGATCATACATAAAATTCATGTGCGAGGACAATTCAACACTAACTGACTTTAACTAAGATAAACTGATGCATGCTGTTCTTTAAGTCATTAAAGCATGAAGGTGCAAAATCACAAACTTACTTTGACTCAAACATCAGAAGAAGAAAACCAACAAAGCAGCTACTTTTCATCTGTTTTCTTATGCCTGTTATGATATTTGTTGGAATAATGATGAATAAAAGCTTAATCGGGTGCTTTATAAAAGTTGTATCTGTCATCTCTGACCACAAAAAGGTGAAAAATTGAGCCTCAAGTCATGATTTAGTTCTCACACTGCGAACCGCGCCCACAAAATGTTAATCCGGTGCAACACTCACCTTGGTGAGGCTGTCGATAGCTTCCCTCAGGGTTGTCAGCTGATTAGCTACAGCAACGCCATCGATTTCTGCCTCAACTAGAGCTCGGAGGAGCACGTCTGTCTCTCTGTGTTGACCCTGAGAATCAGACCTGTCAATAACAGAACAAACATTAAACTAAAATACCAACCCAGCTGTCCTTACCAGGTGCAGAGAGGCGTCTCATCCGGACAAAAAGGTTAACTTTCTTCAGTATTTGTGATGTGAGTAGAGCTGCAATGCTTCAACGATTAGTTATCAACTATTAATAGAATTGATTCATTGGCTATTTTTTAGGGGGAAAAAAGTCAAAACTCTCTCATTTCTCAGCTTCTAAAATCTCAACATTTTCTAGTTTCTTTCTTTTACTACGACAGTAAAATAAATGTCTTTGGGTTGTGAATGAAACAAGACATTTAAAGACGTCATCTTGGGATTAAGGAAACACTGATCGACGTTTTTCAACATTTTCTGACGTTTTAGACAAAACAGCTCATCAAGAAAATAAGGACAATGAAGACAGTCATTAACAGCCTAAGAGTTGAATTACGTTGTCTAAGAACTAGTTCTTTGGTGTCATAATACAAAAGTGCATGTAATAATTGTGACGGGGAACAGTGGCGTGAAAACAGTCACACGGACGTCTCCTATTCTGCGGCTAAAAGCGATCCGACATGCACGTCAGACACGTCATAAATCCAGCTTAAAGCCACAAGTGTGTTTTACTACAGCGGGAATCTGCTCCTGTCCACCAAACACAAGGTTTTATGTCCTACAGCTGTTCTAGAAAATATTCCTGAGGAGCAGTCAGAGCTGTGTTTCATCGACTGCCTCGTCTTTGCAGATCTCTTCCTGCACAATTTCAAATGTCAGCTAATAATTGCAACTCAGGTGAGAAAGTCTTCCTTATAATTTTCACAAAAAACTCTGCTGAAACGACTGCAGTTGTCGTCGTCTGCATTTGGACAGTGACAGCATCACAAAACAAAATGTCTCCAGAAGTGATAAGAACATGACCTTAAGTTATTTTGAACAGCGTGTTTTGACGGGTTTCCTTTGAATATGAGGCATCAGCACAAAGCTTTGTTATTTTCAGGCGGCTGAAGCGACTCTTACCTCTTTGAACGGCGAATGCTTTCTTGCTCTCTAAGTAGGACACTGAGGTTTTTTGAAACAGCAGCAAACTCTTCGTCGGGCTCCTCTGCATCACGCTGATGTCTGATCCCACTGTCTGACTGATGCTGCGCTCGGCTTGTCTGATCATAAGACGATGCAAACAAAACATAAAACATATAAAATAAGACCCAAATACACTGAGAAAAGTTGCAAACTGAATTCAGACAACATGGCTATACAACAACATACAGGTATATTGAATTCTAAAGTCAAGTAGCTCTGACATTGTTGAAGTATTCGGTGCTGAAAAAATGCTCAAAAATTCAGGCCCCAAAGTAGCAACTCGGTGCAACCAAAGTAAGTAAAATTGAAAGTTTGAAAACCAATGATGACTAAAAAAAAATCCCCCCTGTGGTTTCTAATCAGCCTAACTGCACGAACATGGTTCTAAAATGAGCTGTGAATAGCAGGTTTGGACCTTTGGACTGCGTCTATCTGCATGTCTGCATCATGGCTCTATATGGGAAAGAACTGGAGATGACAAATCTGATTGTGAGTCTTCATAGAGGATGGGAAAAGGATCCAGAGAGATCAACTACAAATCAGTAAAACACTGTTGCAGCAATCAGGAGGAATAGAAAAAGGCATAGCACCACTTTGCTTGCTTGTTGGCACAAAACTGTAAAATTAAACTAAACAACATGAAAAAACACCTGAATAATGTTGGGAGAACATTCTTTGGTCAGATGAGGTCAAGTTAAACTTGCTTGGGCTCAGATGGAGTCCAGATGTTTAGTGTGAACCTGACCAGGACGACCACAGTGAACGCATAGTCCTGACTGACAGTGAAGCACGGAGGTGGCAGTATGATGATATGGGGCTGCATGAGTGAAAAAAGGTTTTATAGATGCACCATGAATGTCTGTGGATAAACCAAAATACTGGCTGACGAGATGACTCCCAGTCTGCAGGAGAAAGTCAAAAACTCAAAACTGCGACCTGGGCAAATATGTCGCCTGACTGGAGTTGAACAGAACACGTTTGGGGTATTTTAAAGAGAAAAAGTAGAGCAACACAACCCCTCTAGCAAAGACCAGCTGAAAAAAGAGTCTCGTAGTCTGCAGGACCGTCCACGCTGAAGAGGATTGAGTGTGTCGTAAAAAACAATGGTGGACATATAAAGTTTAAAAAAAAAAAAAAAAAAAGATCTGAATCTCAGTAATAAAAGGTGGACTGACATTTTTTTGCAGTTTCTACTGTGGGGCCAATTTTTTAAAATGAAGTAGATCTAAACTGTCCCTGTAAACTGCCATATGGTTTACTGTAGAAGTAATGAGAGGTGACATAATGTAGGATCATTTAGTATCATATCTGCTGTATATCATCTTACTTACTCCTGTGTTTCTCACAGGGGTCACATTTCTGCTCCATATGTTGTTGTTTCAAATGACTGAAATTAGAGTGAAATTCTGCCAGCAGCTAACTTGAGTCCTTGGTTTACAAACCACTTCTCAGTCTATGTTTGATGACATTCAGCGCTCGGTGCAAACCTGTCTGTCCTGTTAGGGAAGCTAATCGCTGCCACAACATGCTGCTACATTAACCTTTAAGCGTATTCAATGACTGAGTGGAAGCATGACAGTGTGAGATTTAAAAAAACTACAAAGACACCTGGCTCTTGTAGGAGCCCAAATCTCTCCGGCAGGACAGTCTTCCTGGAGGAATCCACGGCTGCCGGACCTTTGGCCTCCCTCCATCTCCTTTAGCCACATTCTGCTAAAAAATGGAAACAGATTCAACAGGTAGACTACTATAAAACTCAATGCAGCATACCCATCTTCGTTATAATTTGGAATATTTACTTGTAAACTCTTTAAAAGTATATTAAAATAGGGGAAACGTCTTTGAAAGTGTGTTGAAAGGAAGGAGCAATATGGGACTAGCAAATCAGTGCAGGTAAAATCAGACAGGTGATGATATCAGGAAGTAGCTATACATGCTGTTTATTAAAACTATGATCAACATGCATGTAACAGTGACCTATGAAAACTGTATTCCCACTAATAATAGAAAGTGTAGTAACCTGCGGGGTTCTGTTGGGACTCCTTCTCATGTGAACATGTACAGGTGTGGTCTCCGGTACGTGGACGTGAACCGGCGGCGGCGATTCTCTGGTTTTCATTCTTTCAAAAAAGTTACAACAACATTAAAACCAAGTTCAGGGCTGATTAAGAAGCAAATAAACAAATCTGAAGCAGCAACACGGCGCTATTATCGAGCTACAGGACATGTTGCTAACATAAATCTCCACTTTTGTCTGTGAAGCGGACGGTTGTGGTCATCCACAAACGGCTCCTCTGATTGGCTCGTTTGCAAGATCTCGCCTTGTGATTGGTGGAGCCGAGTTTTCGGTAAGCGTTGCCCATGGAAACCAGTGGAAGTAACGGGCAGTGAATCTGCTGCGTTCACAGCAAAAAGGGAAAAAAGAACTTTATTTTAAGTAAGGCCGAGTACTAATATGGATACTGGATATTATTTTTGATGCACATGTGACCAATGCTGTATTTGTAGTAACAGATTGAACAATGCTATCTTCACTTTGCGTTTGAAATAAGTTGTTGACATGAATGGTTTCCCACAAAGTAGATCGTAATTCGATTTGAAACAACACTCCTTGAACGCAGCATGAAGCCAACCGTATAATCTCAGTATTTTGCCATTTTTTATCGAATAATTCCCTCTTTAATATAAAATATAATGGTACGTCAAGTCTACTATCAATACTAGTTGTTTCTTTTAAATGTATTGTTTATATTATTTTATTTAACTGTTATCTATTGCTTTACTTTTTCCCTTTTGTTTCTTCATTCTGTTTTTTATGTGTGTTTTTGTTTGTTTGTTTGTTTGTTTGTTTGTAACCCTTTTTTTCTCCTTCTCCAGCTTCCCTTGTCTGGTTTTCTCTCCAAAACATATGCATACATTTTTTAAATCTTTCTTTATTTTTTATTTACCTATTTCTTTTTTTAGAATCAGGGGTGTAGGTTAGTGATATTACTGTTGTTATTTTGCTGTTTCTACAAGTAGTGAGGATTGCCAGCAGGCCAGGGTGGATAATGTGGATTATTCTTGCTTCAAAAGTAAAACACAGTCTGTAACACTGTATCATTGTTTCTACCAACTGTGAATAAAATTCAGTGATAAAAAAACAAAAAATAAAACAGATGTTGAGTCAAAGTGCTTTCCAGTAAAGAAATAAGATGAACAATACAAATGTACCTAGTAAGTTTAGGTATTAGCATTAAGACCCTACTTTATCATTTATAACACAAATTGACCTCACTGAAATGTTAAGATTAAGAACCGTCAGTGTTATATACTCTACAAAATTACCCGACGTATTTAAAAATTACAGTTAAGGCCAGGAAATTATACACAGAAAACACAGCAAATTCAAAAATGAGGACGCATATTAGCAAAAGCACAGAAGAAAAACTGTTTTCATTTGTATTAAATGTATTATTGTAAAATCCTAATCATGATTTAAATTACTCTGGCAAATGTGCATAATAAATAATACTATAGACTCAATAATGTTCATCTTATTTACTAGAAAGCACTTGGGCTCTAGAATGTCCCATATACCGCTTCATGCATGCACTACCTTGCATTGGTTGGCACCTGAGTACATTTCAGAACTTCTGTGACCCTCCTGGACCTCCAGGCCTCTTAGATCCTGTGGAACTGTTCCACGGTGGAGGCTGGTGAATGAAGGAAGCTGTGTTTTTGTAGTAGCAGGTCCAAAGCTTGAAAAAAATAAAAAGCCTTGTTCTTTTATACAAATGTTTCTCCTCCATTAATACTCAAGAAAAAAATCAAGATTTTTCATTGACTTTGTTTGCTCTTAGTGTATTTGAATATCTTGTGTATCTATATTAATAATGGATCTCACCAGATGTCCTGTTTGATTTGCTTTTTAAGCATTTTATAGGCCTGTTTATTGATTTTCCAAGGGTTTCTCCTGTTTTCTGTCTTGCTTTTTTGCACACATTTGTGTTGTTGTCCGTCTAATTACACGATCAGCGCTTTGGTCACCTGAAATCCTTCAAAAACGTGCTTCACAAATAAACTTGATTTGACATAATAAACAGTGATTTGACTAAAATAAAATAAATTCTACAGAAGGTCTGTGTAAAAACTCTAAACCCTCTTTTTTCATATCAGGTGAAGCCCTTTTATAACTGAAATGGCATTTCTTTCAGAGTAAACAGCGTTTTAATGGTTATGTAAGAGCTGTGCAGAAATGCTCGGTAGGAAATGGTTGGGATGACTGCACATCCTGTTTGTTTCTATGGCGCTTCCGAACATCAGCTAGCCTGGGTAGCATGCTAACGCTCACGTTAGCTTGTTGTTTTTTGAAGTCCACTAATCACCAAAATGTTATATATTTACACAGAAGGTTTGTACTCGGTGTTAACATATTTGTGTGATTAAATTGATGCACTTGTGATTGACACTTCTCGACCAAAACGACCGTCGCTTGTTGGGTTTCGCTCGACGCACCGCCTCGGCTAAAAACAAAGCCGCTAAGCTAACTAGCTCGTGATTAGCCGTCCATGTGGCAGCGATGGGGCTGGAGCGGAGCCTGCGGCCGCTCGTGAGGCGGCTGGGGCGGTTCGCGGTGCACTACGTGTCCTTTGTGCTCCTGTTCTATCCCGCCGCGCACCGGCCCGGCGAGGCGTGTGAGCGGGGGGGCACCACCAGCGCAGACACCCTCATACTGTGCCGGGCGTGCGGACACGAGCTGGCGTTCGGAACCGATATCCACTTCGTCCCCAGCCGGCTGGCGCTCTCCAGCCGCAACGACACGCTGGTCGGGGGCCGAAGGGTTAACGTCCAGCTCCTGGAGAACCCCCACGGACACCGGTTCGAGGTGATCACGTTCAGGAAGGCGGACGTTACCCAGCACTGGCCCGCAGACAAACACTTCTCCTGGTTCCCCGGGTTCTCGTGGACCGTGGCCACCTGTCCTCGGTGTAACACTCATTTAGGTGGGTATTCATCATAAAACTTTATTCATACAGCAGGAGACGAAGGGGCAAAGCTTCACATAAACATAAACCGAAAGCAGCCCAGCACATTTTAAACAACAGATACTGAGTCAAACAAATATTAATCCACAAATTTGCCCAATTAGAATAAACACAATAGTGGTAATTATGCAAATTAACAGTAGATTTAAGAGCCCACTGTTTTACATCTAATTCAAATTTACCACACTAATTTAAAAGCTGGGGTTGGAGCCTACTGGATTTTGATTATGCAAATATACCACAAAAGTTTAAAATGCCAAGGTTAAGAGCCACAGTAATAATTATAATGTAATTGTATCTGTCTGATTTTAAGAAGGTTAGAACCCTACATAACTATATATAATAGATAAAAGTGTACTCAACTTATATAAATACTGAAGTGAAGACACTATAAAAAATAAAAATAAAAATGTACCTGACTCATGTTAAGATTACTTGGCTGATTTCATGTTAAGGTCAGTATAACACAATATCTTATATATAAGATAAAGTTACCTGGCTCCTTCAATACTATGGTGTAGAATCTACAGTCTTATTAATTACACAAATTTACCTGACTTATCTAAATACTAATGACCTACAATATTTAATATACTCTAATAAATAAACCAACTAATGTAAATATTATCCTTAGCACCCTACAATATCATAAACAATACAAATAACTTGACTAAGGTGAGGATCCTACAATATTATATATATATGAAAATCCAACAGTTCCTTGTGAGCAGCAGATTAGTGACAGGAGAGAACAATAAAGTCCCTTTTTAACATGAGGAGACTCTGAGCAGAACCAGGTTCAGGGAGGGCAGACGTCTACCTGGACCGGTCAGGGTGACGGTAAAGAGAAGAACGAAAAGGAAAGCAGAGACCGTCAGCAGACCAGAGGATTATAAACTCTGGACAGATTTGTAAAACCAGAAGCTGCTGAGTAAACCTGTGACTGTGTATGAAGCAGGATTTATCTTCAAAATCTTTAATTTAAAATAATAATAAGAGATTGGTGTACTGTAAGATCCACCCAACACATTGTCTGCTAATCAGAACATACAAATATTGTCTATAAAGTCATCTGATCACTTATATCAGAACTTTTACAAATGTGTTACTTCTAATAATTGTTACCAAATAATTACATTTGGTGTTAAATAATTAGGGCTCTTATGGAGGTACAGACTTGTATTTATGTCATAATCTATTAAAAGCAGGCTTTTATATAGCAACATTAATCAGGAAACTACTGATATAAACAGCACGACCTGTAGGAGCTGGAATTTGGCGTATTAGGATTAAAATATTTTTTAAAAAGCTCAGCAGAACCATTCAGTTCAGGCCACATTACTACATTAAATTTGCCATCATCTATTAAAATCAGCCATTTCTGAAAATGTATTTTGTATTCTTTATATGTATTTATATATTTTGGGGACCCTGAGAAATGGCACAATTCCTCTGTGTGTACTGCACATGTAGAGATATTGACAATAAAGTTTGTTTTGAATTTGAAAATATGGAACCGGTAATAACCCTTTTACATCAAAATATAAATCCCCAAATTCATGTTATGTATAAAATACTTCTAAATCATAAGACTTACTATCAATTATGGAGCAAATAGTTTACTCTAATAATCAAAATTGCCTTTTTAATGCTAAATGTCACAATTGACGTTTCTGGCTGCTCAAATGTGAGGCTGTTTTTCCCGTCGTGCATGGTAGTAAACTGACTATTTTTGATATTTGCCAGCTTTAACAGCCACTTTGTACCGCAGAAAGTATTTAAAGTTGTGCACACTTGTAACTGTGGAGAAATATTCGCCTTGTATCTCTGCCCCACTTTGTTAGAGTCAGGATTTAATATAGTAAAGCTTAATAGTGGAACAAGTTAAAATCTCTTAATCCCAAAGTTATGCCCACTGAGCAAGCAGAATGGGGCTTTCCTGTACCGGTACACTTGTTTAAATCCACGTGCTATATTTGGTATATAGTAGATGCATCTTAATAGGTTACCATTTTTTGTTCCAGATAACAGACTTTTCCTTGTTTCCCTCCTTAGGTTGGGCCTTCCAGCCCAGCAGCTGGCCCGACACCATCACAAAAACCACCTTCGAGGAGTCGGAGCTCACGTTCTTGGCTTTAATCACCCATCGACTCCTAAATGAAGACTTTGCTTCGAGCCTGCTAATGACTCCCAAATCCTTCGTGAGCTGATGGACTTTTGGCCGCGCCAGTCGACCCAGGTGCCTTCGCTGCTCCCTAAATCTATTTTTTAAAAATAAATAAATCTCTATGCACCCACTTGGTTTTGAAGACTCCCACACATGTATACACAGTAAGTTTTATTATTGTAACAAAGCAAGTTGTACACCTCAAATTTAAAACAGTTTCTTCCCCTCCCTCCCCCAAGCGGAAAAGGAAAGGTGTGATTAAATGTAAATTCTATGAGATAACAGGT